TCAGAGAAGATCACCATTACCAATGACAAGGGTCGCTTGAGTCAAGAAGAAATTGAACGTATGGTCAAGGAGGCCGAGGAGTTTGCTGAGGAGGACAAGAAGGTGAAAGAAAGAATTGACGCCCGAAACAGCCTGGAGACTTACGTATACAACATGAGGAACCAAATCAATGACAAGGACAAACTTGCAGACAAGTTAGAGTCTGATGAGAAGGAGAAGATTGAAACCGCCACAAAAGAAGCACTTGAATGGTTGGACGACAACCAGAGTGCTGAGAAGGAAGATTATGACGAAAAACTGAAAGAAGTGGAGGCTGTGTGCAACCCAATTATCACGGCTGTGTATCAGAGATCTGGTGGAGCCCCAGGAGGTGCCAGCGAGGAATCCAACGAGGATGATGATTCACATGACGAGCTGTAATAGATTTGTAGGTTATAGTTTTCTGTTGCCAAATAGACATACAATTTTGATGATTTCTTTGTGTAATTTCACCAAATAGAGGGTGGAACGTAGAACAACTCGGAAGAAACCGTGGGACGTAATGTCGCTCTGGTATCCTGCCTCTTGTTCATTTTTTTCGTACCTGTATAGAGACGTAAATCAATTCAGAATTCAAATTTCTTGTATTCATTCTGGTCTTGTGTGAGTTGATTTTTTAACTTCTGCAGCCAAGCAGAGTTTGATTTTAATGGTCAAAATTTAAATCTCCCACTGTTGAGCGTTTGAGAAGGCTACCTGCCTAGCGTTTGTTCTTTTTTCAAAAGTGATTTCTAGGGGAAGTGGTAAAAGGATAACATATCGGGTATTGACAAGCAAAAGAGTTAGGGGAAGTGANATATATATATATATATACACACACACTTCCTAATTAAGATAAAGGCAATGCTTACTCAGAGTTGAACCAGTACGTTACTTCTATCTAGGACCAGCGTTCCAAGTGAGTACACTTTAACTACTTAAGAAAACGTCAGATGATGCTTCAAGTTAAGTCAGAACAATGGCTATTGACTCAAATGTGCTCATTTTCCTAGCCGCATTAGGTATTCAATCATCTGCACATGCTGCATTGACAAAGCGCTGGAGTCGTAGTGGTGAGCTATTTGTACATGTCCTACAAGTATTTTGATCGCATCCAGCTAATATAATTGATACTATTTTAGCTTTCACTTTCCAATTAGAAACAATGTTACCCTGACAATAAGAATGGTAAGCAACAAATGTAGTAACCTAAAAAGCAAAACAATGAATCCCTTTCACTTCTGGTGACTCCTTTCTTGAAGTGGCAATCTCTTTGCTCCATGCCATCACAAAAGCTCAAAAGATAGTACTAAAATCTACAAGAGAAATTCCCTTCATTTAAGATGAGAAATAGGTACATAAGCATCTACACCAGTAACATGATCGATCAGCAGAAGGAGAAGAAGAACAAGATATGCTGTACGTTAGTTGTGGGTAGTCGCCTGCTGCAACCAAGGCCAGTGCAACTCGCAGACATCTCGAGGGCAGTCACCATCATTATCCTTGATCTCCACATTAGCACCATGCTTTACGAGAAACTCAGCAATATCTTCCCTTTCACAAACAGCAGCATAATGAAGTGCTGTCTGGCCCTCAAGGTCCTTCAATGATCAAAATAACAAGAATTTTTATTTCAGTGTATATCGCAAGCAGGAAAACTAGAAGCACCCACAGACATTGGAAACAATGGAAGATTTACGAGGCCCAATGCTTAAAACCAAGTTCGACAAACTCCAAAGTCCAACCTTCAACTAAAAAAACTGCAGCCTCATAAGCTCTAGCTTTATATTAACACATAGGACACACTTGAGTTTGCTTGATATAAGGGTTTTGATTAAACCTTCTGCCTAACATGTAATTGAGTATATTTTAGCACACTTTTGGTCTCATCTTGCCTTAGTTATTTATTTATTTATTGAATATTGGCCTCATCTTCCTTTGTGATACATGATCACATAATGCAATTTTAAAACTCACTAAGGTTAGTAAAGCCTTCAGCATGGTAGTCTTGTTTCCTCTCTGCAAATCTTGCATCTATGTTGTTCTTTGCCTCTCTCTTTTAGTCCCAACGTAATGACAAATTCTCTAAAACACTATATTGAAGAGAGAGAGAGAGAGAGAGAGAGAGAGAGAGAGAGAGAGAGAGAGAGAATATACAAGAAAATTACAGCTTCATCAAGTAATGTTATGGCTCTAAGACTTTCAAATGAAAAAATAATGCAACAAAATACAAGCCCGAGAAAGTATAATTATAACTAATCACAGAACCAAAACAAGATCAGGGGTTGTCACAATGCAAAATTATATGTACCTTGGCGTTTACATCGGCATTCCTGCTTAAAAGCAATTTAGTGATGCTGAGATGACCACGATCTACAGCCCAGTGCAAGGGGGCACGACCCTCACTGTCTGGAATCATGTCAAGAAACAACTTTTAGTCAGGAGGAACATCAATCAAATAAACGAAAGAGAGCAAAAGCTACACTACAAGTTCCAGGTAGACATCATTCAAGAAACTCCAGGGTCTTGAGTTACACTCGACCACCCTAAACATTCTCTCAGTTCTCCACCCTATCATTTTTTCTTGGTATGAACACAAGAGAATCATCAAGAAACATCTTAGTTCAATGAAAATTGACCCATCCTCGGAGTTGATTATTAATTAAAAACCATAAGCAAAGCAAATACTAGTGAATCAAACATATCAACATTGAAACACCATAACTAAACTTCACAAGAATTGATTTATCACATTGAGAACCAACCTTTCACATTCACAGGAACACCACTCTCAATGCACTTAAGCAAGTTCTCCTCGTCCCCTTCTCTGGCAAAGGCATGAATTTCATCCAATTTTCTGCAAAGAGAATAGAGGGTATGTGCAGCATTATAATTATTATAAAATAGACACATATAGATAAAAGACAAAAGGATGAGAGAAAGTTACACAACTTGAAAATGACCAACAAAGTACAGCTTGTTCAAAAGTTCATCCCTCAGATAAACAAGAAAAGCGTAGTTAAATAAGGAAGCTCATCTAAGACTTCTTAAGACAGACAGATTAGATGCTGCTTATTGTTAGCACCATTGCCTCCTAGTGTAGGAAAAATAAAATAAGAATGAAACTATAATACAAAATAACCTCTATAAACTCGCCAGAACCACAGAGTTGAAATTCCAAAGAATGTTTCTGCTTTTTGATGCCAAGATAAACTAGTTATAGACTACATAGCAGTTGTTGCAGAGAACGTCCTTCTCAAATAGAACGAACAGCGACAACAAATAAAAGAACCACACAGTATTCAGCCCACATTTTACAAAAGGTCAAAAGAACAATGCGTCGTTTAAAGTTAAACTACCAAGCCAAATAGTAAAAGGTGTTCAGGCTTAGAACTCACAATAAAGTTTGATTGATTCAACCAAAGTCTGGAAGATTTTCCTTGGACATTTACAGCAATTATAGGTTTCGGTATTAAGGGGAGGGGGTAGGACATAAAAAAGGAAAAGAACCATGATATACTTATACTACCATGTAAT